ATATATCAAATTTTTAAATATATACATTATATTACAATTTAGATTTATGTTATAAATTATAATTTAATATCTCATAGTTAGAATTTAGAAATTGTTAAAGTGTACATTATAACTAATTAACTTATAGAATTTTATTATTATTATGTTAGAACTCATTAATTATTATGTTATATAACATGATATTAATTATCTCTAATAAAATACTAATGAGTGATGCTATTAAAAATTATAGTTCTATTTTTTTCTTAAATTCGCTCTTTTTCAACTCGGTAATAAATTTTAAAATACAAAATAATATTTTGACTTAAATTTGAAATTCATAAATACCAATTTAAATAACAAATTGAACGAAAAATATCAGATTTTATTAGAGTAATTTATTGAGACCAATTAATTCAATATGATTTGACCGAATTTTGTGACAAGAGATTGTTTGACACTTTTCTCAGAGTTATATGATTCATGTGAATATTATAGTAGGAAAAGCGTTCTAACAAAATAGTAATAAATTCTAATTTATAATAGTAATAATCTATACCATAATAATTTCTAACTTCTAACATAGTAGTACTAAATATTATTTCATAAGGCTATCAATTCTAAATCATACATAATAATATCCAACTTCTAACATAATAGTAATAAATTATAATTTATAACATAATCAGTTTTAATCTATAATACAATAATTTCTAACCTCTAACAAAATAGCAATAAATTCTAATTCATAAGACAATCAATTCTAATCTATAATACAGTAATTTCTAACTTCTAACATATTAGTAATAAATTCTAAGATAATCAATTCTAATATATAACATAATAATTTATACTAATATATTTTTTTTCAAACAAGTATCATTTCTGATTTATAATAATATAACTTATACTAATTATACTAATATCATTTTTTTAACTGCATATGTTGTTAGTTCATTTTATCCTCAACAAGTGCATAACAAACATAACCTTAAATTAGGGGTTAGGGTTTAAGGTTTAGGGGTTTAGGGTTTAGGGTTTAGGGGCTTAGGGTTTAGGGTTTAGGGGTTTAGGGGTTAGGGTTGAAGGTTTAGTGGTTAGGGTTTAAGGTTTAGGGTTTAGGGTTATGGTTTAGGGGTTTAGGGTTTAGGGGTTTAGGGTTTAGGGGTTAGGGTTGAGGGTTTAGTGGTTAGGGTTGAGGGTTTAGGGTTTAGGGTATATTATGTTTGTGATTGTCATTATGTTAGAAATTATTGTATTATAGATAGAATTGATTGTCTTATGAATTATAATTTATTGCTATTTTGTTAGAGGTTAGAAATTATTGTATTATAGATTAAAACTGATTATGTTATAAATTATCATTTATTACTATTATGTTCGAAGTTGGATATTATTATGTTATGATTTAGAATTGATAGCCTTATGAAATAATATTTAGTACTACTATATTAGAAGTTAGAAATTATTATGGTATAGATTAATACTATTATAAATTAAAATTTATTACTATTTTGTTAGAACGCTTTTCCTACTATAATATTCAAACGAATCATATAACTCTGAGAAAAGTGTCAAACAATCTCTTGTCATAAAATTCGGTCAAATCATATTGAATTAATCGGTCTCAATGAATTGCTCTAACAGAATTCGATTTTTTCGTTCAATTAGTTATTTAAATTGGTATTTATGAATTTCAAATGTAAGTCAAAATTTTATTTAGTCAAAATTTTATTTTGTAGTTTAAAATTTATTACCGAAGATAATTAGTTATAATTTATAATTTAACAATTTCTAAATTCTAACTATGAGATATTAAATTCTAATTTATAACATAAATCTAAATTCTAATATAATGTATATAATTAAAATTTTGATTTTTCTTTAAAAAAAAAAGAAAAAAAAAATGGCCGGCCGGCCGGCAAAACCGGCCGTGCATGGGCCGGCCTACCGGCAAAACCGGCCGTGACAATCTATACGACACGGCTACGGCCGGCATTCGAGGCCGGCCGACCCAAAAAAAAAAAAATTATTTTTGGCCGGTTTGACCGGTCGGCCGCCGGTTTGACCGGTCAACCGCTGCATGATCGGTCTTGTTGGAAAGCATTTTTTCGCCGGAATTATTCAGAGGTGTTTTCGCAATTTTTCGAGGCTCGGTTTGGCCGGTAAATAGGTTTAAAGAGGGACATCTATTATTTTTAAAAAAATATATAAAGGGCAAATTAGTCTTTTAGGGGAGCGGTAAATATCGAAAAGGAGGCGGTGTTTAGTTTATAAATGATTTATGTATAGTTTATTTGAAGTGTAAAATACTTTTTTCCATCCGAACTATCACGGTTTTGACGCATCACCATATAAACTATTTTTTTTAAAAAACCACCATATGAACTATACGGGTTTGTCAATGTGTCCCCTAAACCAGATATAAAAGTGGTTTTGACTGAAAAAGCTGTTTGATCACCATATGTGCCCCTAAATACTTTTACAAACCACCATATGAAGTATCACGAGTTTGTAATGTGCCCCCTAAAACACTTTTATATCCGGTTTAGAGGGCATATTGACAAACCCGTATAGTTTATATGGTGATTTGTAAAAAAAAAATAGTTTATATGGTGATGCGTAAAAAACGCGATAGTTTCGGATAAGAATTTTTTTTTTACCCTTATTTAAAATGGTCTAAAAACTTAACTGAAGTATCTCAGGCTTACTGGGCCGGGCTAACAAAATATGCTCGAATTTCTGGACATGTATGTGTACAGGCCCATTGAAAGGTCAGGTTTCAATTGTATTATTTGTGTGAGAGGAGATTAACTACCTCTTCTAAAACGCACACATTTATCAAACAAGGACATACCATACATACTTGATACTTCATACATGTTCAAAATATATCAAAATTAAGAAAAACAACAACAACAACAAACAATTCCATTCAAAATACAAAACTAATTTAGCTTAATTTGTTTCACAACCCTAGAGAAAATGGAAACCCGGTTCCTCCTAGCCAACTTCCCCCGTCGATAAAGTTCCCCGCCGTGTACGGCCGCACCTCATCCGCGCTCGTAACAACCTTAAACCCGCGCCACGTCACCCTCCCCGTCGTATTTCCCCCGGCCCCCGTGTTCTGATACTCCAAGTAGACGAGCGTGTCTAACGCAAACTCGCCATTCCACTCATGCCACCCCTCCGGCCGGATGACATCATCGATCGTCGACTGCATGATCACCGTCCGACTGTACTCCTTCCACGGCCTCCCGAGGTAGGTCGGGAAGTCGCTCCGGACCGGAAATAGGTCCGGGGTGGCGCCTATGTGGCAATTCTGGATCACGATGCCCGTGTTCTGGTTCGGGTCGATTCGGCCCTGGGCCGTGACCATGTTGCGTTGGTTGGCGTCGGGCAGGCGGGCGAGGATGGTGCAGTTTTGGAAAACTGCGGCCCCGTTGCCGAATATGAAGTCGACTGTGCCGATGACGAGGCACTCAGTGAAGAACTGGCGGTTGGAGTGGACGTACAACGTGTCCTGATATCCGAGCATGTCGCACCGGTAGAATGCCGAGAGATCGGACCCCACGCGCAGGGCCACGGCCTGGTGCTTGGCCGGGCCCGCCGTGTTCTGGAAGGTGATGTCGCGCGCGAGGAACCCTGCTCCGACCGCGGCTGCAGAATTATAAAGCTCGATTCAGTTAATATAAAATTTTCTCGAAAGGAAATGTTAATTCAGTTGTAGTCACTTTCAGATCTCCTAATCTGATTTCATGTTGCATTTTATGTTTCACTCCATTATATGAATGACATTTATATATTGTAAGATATGACCAAGTCATTCAACAGTATGGAATGTAACTATGGGTGTTAGTTATTTGAGCTGAGTAGCTCATGTCCGAGCTCGAGCTTGTTTGATTAACGAGCCAAACGCTCGGCTCGAGCTCGTGAATTCTCGATCCGTCTTGTTTAATAAACCTAAGATTTCAAACGAGTTGTTTACGAACACGAAATGTCTGATCGCAAACAAGTTCGACTCGCTCGATAATTTTTGTTTACAATATAATGTGAGAAATAAAACAAAATTATAAATGAATGCTCGCTCTCAACTTATTTAATAAACAAGCTCAATTTCGCTATTCGAGATTGACTCGTTTAAGTAAATGAATAAGTCGAGTTTGAGTTTTCACGAAACGAATATTCTAGCAGTGTTAGACAAATCTAGCATTTCTAAAATTTAACAATTTTTTTTTTTTTTTTTTTTTTAAATAATTAGAGCTGATTGATTATTTGTTGTTCCTAAATAGTCAACACTCTGCTAAAATGTGGTCATCAGCTGTATAACATTTGACATGTTGATAAACAATCATTCGTTTTAAAAACTTTACAGTTGGGATAAATTCAAAAAGATCACCTCAACTATCATTTTCATGATTTTGTAATTGAAAAATTAGTGCCTCACAACTAATGGTAGAAATCATAGGTCGTTAATTAAGGCTATCCTTTTCCTACTTGACTTCTGCTGTAAAAAAAATAAAAAATAAAAAATAAAGTTTGCAATTAGTATGTACATTGTATTGGAAAATGGCACAGTTTCATTACGCAATCATGCCGTCGGGTTTTTAACAATTAGATCATCATGTAATCATAAAAGATAGTTAATTTAACGATTATAAATTTCGATAGGATGATTTATCTGTAACGTGACTGTAACATCTTCCCATTATATTAATTAATGACATTATGACAATGTGAGGACATTGTATTAGAAAAAAATGAATAATAAAATCTGTTGTAATTTTTTTAAGTTTACAATGTGAAGACAATCTTGACTATATTTTTGACGGTTTTGCTATGAAGTCAACAGTTGGCTCTATAGTGGAGTCAACCTTCTATATACAACAAATAAACATACTATATTAATAAAATTATATTAATGTTATTTAAATAATTAGAGAATATGGTAAATTTACTTGTTGTATATAGAAGGTTGGCTCTATTATGTGAACCAACTGTTTGTTCCATAGCAAAACCGATATTTTTGAATTTTTCAGATTGAGTACTAATTTAAAATAATTTTGGTGGGACACTTGTTCATGGAATGTCAATATCAAGTTGGAATCATATCCATTAGAAATTGACGCGTCACAGCACATATTTTCAAATAAATTCGGCCTGAAATTTAAAATTCGGATAAAAAGTATCCCCATAGTGCAAAAATTTTAAAAATATAGAGATAATATATTCAAAATTCGACCACAATTATCATTAAAATGGCCAATTTTAGTAAGTATATATAGATACGCTTTTATAATTTCCTAATAAGCACATAAAAATTTAATCAATATGTCATACATTTATAATTTCTCTGCTTCCTCATTAGCCAACTATATTTTTATTTTTTTTTTCCAAAAAAAATGTATTTTTATTTTATAAAATATGTCATACATTTATTTATAATATAATTTAAAATATGTTAGGTGAGTGTGAAAATAGGCAAGTTTATTGAAAAAAGTAGGTTGTTAGTTGTAAGCCTAACAAAAACTCGAAATATTATATTTGGAAATATTGTCTCTATATCAAGACAAAGATAGTTGACAGGGAACTAGGCGCGATTAAAGGACATGATATTGATTATATAAAATATTATTTTTTTTATATTATATATAAAAAGTGCAAATTTTTTTTAACTTGACCCACAAAAAAATGAAAAATTATGAGATAGACAATTAAGCCATTTTACTTGAAATCCTTCTATTTTTAACTTGAAACTTCACGTTGATTTTTCATTGGTATCTATTATCATAAATTATAAAATTGATTTTTCGTCATTCATGTTGATAATATTTTGGTTATAACATATTTTAAGTTCTAACCGTAATGCTAATATTTTTCCCAAATATATACTTTTTATCCAAAAATAATTATAGAAAATCTTAATAGATTAGATATAATTTTTTCTTCCAATTAATTAGACGAATTAAATTGGTGAATTAATCTGTCAATATAATTTTTTTAAGCTTATTTCGTTATTCAGTGATATAATGTATTAATTATTTTACAAATTAGTTATAAATATTCATATTTAATATTCTGGCTAAAAAAAACAACGATGATTAAAAGAGATTGAAAATAGATTATATAACTTTATTGTTTTTTAAACATGATTAAAAGAGACTAAATATAAACAGTAACCCTATTGTAAGGATAAACGGACATATTATGTGAAAGTAATTCATTTAATAACATTCACCCGTGCATTCCGTTACGTACTAGTTAATTTTTATTTTATAGATTATTTTGATTAAGTTTGTATTAATAATAAAATTATTTATTTTGTTAGATTTAGATAATGGTTTTATTCTGAAAAAAAAAAAAAAACAGTGAAAAAAGTAGGGTACTGTAGTCTGTATACTCACCAACCGTCGCCGACTTGAACGTGGTGCTCCCGTCCTTCACGTTCCGGCTGGCGGTGATGATCGTATTATTCCGACCATCCCCGATAAACATTATGTTCCTCTTCTTCTTCCCGATCTCTACATTCTCCCTATAGACCCCGGCCTTTATATGGATGACAAACCGCTTATCACTCTTCTCCGGCGCCGCGTCCACCGCCGCTGCCACGGTGGTGTAGTCACCGCTGCCATCCGCTGCCACTACCGCGTCCGGGGTGAAATTACTCGTCTGCAGCAGCCGCCGGTCTCCGGCGGATAGCCACTCCGGCCATCCCCCTGACTCCAGGAGCCTTCTCCCGCCGCCGCTGGCGGCGGCGGCGGCAGCCACGTCGGCGTTGGTCATGTTTGTTAGCATGGCGAGGGCATTGCTGCAGAGCTTCTCCACGTGGACGACTTCGTCATTGACGAAGACCTCCCGATCGTGCTTCTCTTTTTCGGTGTACGAGAAACCCTCCCGGCATGTTTCCTGTTAAAAAGAAAAAAGTAATATCAGTAATTTAGTAAGGGTATGTAGGTTTTTCAATGAAAATATCCATTTTTAGAAATGCTTGGTCTTTTTACGAAACTATTCCGCCGAGGTTTGTAACCGTTGGATCATCATGGAAACGTCGGGAATAATTGATCTAATTGATACAAAACCCGACGGAATGGTTCCGTAACAAGACCTACTGTCTCCCATCAGTTTTATACCATTTGTTTACACTACAACAAAATTTCAACTAATTTCTCCCTTTTTTTCTCATATTTTCCGGATCCTCACCTGATTGGTAAGCGCGGCGGAAAGTAGAGTTTTCAGGTCATCCGCGTGGCTGGCGATCGATTTACTGACCGACGGGTACTCTTTCAGCTCAGCGACCGTTGACCGGAGCTCGTCCAATGTCAGGCCAGTCTCCTGAAGGCAGTCGTTCAGCGCCTGCTTCTCCCTCTCCGTGAACTTCCGGCGGCTGTTGTTGAGCAGCTTCCCGACGTTTAAGAGGTTTTTCTCCGCGGCGGCGATGGTTTTTTCCAGCGTTACGAGGATGAAGTCCTTATGCGAGGTCAAGTTCCCGCGGCCGTCATTAATGGCCTCGGCTAAGGTGGAGAAGCAGAGTTCGGGGTAGCGCGTGGTGGAGCAGTGGGAATTTGCTAACACGAGCGCGTGAGATGTTTTGATGCTTACCGGCCTGTCGGAGTTTTTTCGATTTGATCGGAATCCGGCGACTGTACCGACTACGGCGGCCAGGAGGAGGACGGAGGCGAGGGCGGCGAGGATGAGTTTTTTCTTTCGGGTGGCTGGGTTGTCGCCGGAGTTTAGTTTTCCGGCAAGGATGTCTTTGAAGCGGGACATTTTAATTGTTTTTTTTTTTTCTATTGGTTTTTTTGTATATATATATATATATTATATATATATTTTTCGTTGGGAGTATAATTTATGAAAGGTGGATAAAGAGGGTTGTTAGGAGGTGGGGATTTATAGTGTGTTTCGAGGGACAATTTAAGAGGATTTGGTCAAGTAGAATTGCTTTTGCATGAAATTATGGTAGCACACGGTGCAAATTTCCTTATTTACTTTCATATATACACACTAAAATTGCAATTTGGTTGGAAAATTTTTTACGTACATTATTACTACTATTATTATTATTATTATTATTGGAAAATTTTATACGTACATTATTACTATTATTATAATTATCCTCTCTATATATAATTGCATAATGCGTTGAGTCTAAGTGGCAGTCTCACACGCTTCGGAATCCTACTTGACAAATAAACATGTTTCGTAGTTTGGTTTGGATAAAAAAATAATATTATTTTAAATGATAATTTTCGGTTCAGACATTCCAAATATATTGATAAACTAACTTGGTAATTCCATAATAGTTTGACTAATATAACTCTTAAGTTGTATGGGAACCTTTGGTAATTACACTAATTGACTAATATAACTTTATTTTCTTTTGGAATCTCTTAACGGGCTCATTAATTTCCATGAAAACCTCAAATTAGCCAAATAAATACATATATTTAATTTTAAACAATTATTGTTATTATTATTAATTTTAAAAATATTTTTCTCAACAATTACCCGTGTAGTACACGGGTATTGTACTAGTTATTATTATTATTAATGATAATAATCTTTCAACCATAATAGCAGTTTATGAAATCAAATCACATCATTTTATTGACATATTACTTTAAGTTTCAACAATAACTAGTACTAATACTCATGTACAACATGAGTGTTGAGTTAATGAATATATGTATAAAGTTATTTATGTCTAATATCAAACCTAACTCCAAAGCAAAAATAATACTCCATCCGTTGCAAATTATAAGTCGCTTTGACTTTTTTCGGTACATCTACTTTGCTATGTATCTAGATAATAATATGTCCAGATACATAGCAAAATGGATGAATAAAAAAAGTCAAAACGACTTATAATTTAAAACGGAGGGACTATAAAAACAACATCACGTAGCATAGATTTTCTCAATGTCAGCATTCAAAGCGTGAGAATTTGCCACCTAGGCTGAACACGTTTTGAATTAATATATATGGAGGGATATAAACAAAAAATATGATGATTTATAATATAAGCATACATTTTTGTTAAAAATGTACGATGAGTCAATGTGTTACATAACATCCTCATACACATCATTTGTGATTTCATTAATAATTCCATAATTTTGAAATGTTTATTTTCATGATTAGTTATATTAAAATCCATTTAATTGATGGTAATTTCATAATTATTGAAATTAATAAATTTTAGGGTAAATTAAGCAGAAGCTCATCTGGCGAATGTAATTTGATTACAACTTTGTCATGAAAATTGAATCTGGTTAGGAAAATCCAAATTAAAACCAGTTTGTTTTTAAATTATGAGACTTCCATTGAATAATTGAATTTCTAATTATTTTTTACTAATTATTAGCACTTGATAGAAAGTAGAAACTATTATTTAATTATATATGCATAATTTTCAAAGACAATTGTTTGTGGGGGACAGTTGGAGGGAAGCGTTGATCAAGGAAATATGATTTTTCAAAAAGTACCAATTCATTGCTTGCACAAATTACCGAAGATTTAAAATTTTAAAGCAAAGTTCAATTAATTTCATGAATTAATAAGTCAAAATTAAATCATAGAAAATTAAATCGAGAAGTGACATTTCAACTTTAAAATTATACTGTACAACGCCCGTGTATTATAAGGATGTTTGTTAATTTTTTTTTTTTTACAATTTAAAATTAATGAGAATTGTTGAAAATTAAATACTTTTTATAAAGAAATATATATTATTATATATTTTAGTATGACACTTGTTACTTGTGCGACTATACATGTGTTATATTATAATAATTTTTCTAACTTATAGCATATAACCACAGTAAACATAAATATATTAATTGAGAAATAATTTTATTTTTTAATTAATTTTAATGAATATTTTTATTATTATTATAAAGATAAATATTATATATATATATATTATATATACAATATGGATGTCAAATCGAAGCTCATAAAAAAATAATTAATTTGATATATTATATATGTAAAATCGATAAAAAATATAAAAGTTATCAAATTTTAAAATAAATTTACAATTCAATATAGTTATAATAAGAAATAATATTAAAATATAATTAAAACATCTAAAATGATCATAAATAAATCAACATATTTATGGTAATTCGAACCTAATTATTTTTGGATTAAAAGTAAATTAAAATTTATCCAAGTCTAATAACAAAACATGTAATTTTGACACATAAGATTTCGAAGCATACGAGTCTGCCACTTAGACTCAGCACGTTTTGAATTAATATATAGGGGAGGGGATGATTAATGGTCTCATTATATATCAATTGTTATTTAAAAAGTAAATAATTTATGTGATTACCTATCTTTTTACAATTTCTACGCGTTATTTAATTATTGGCTTCTTTGCATGGACATCAAATACAAATATGAACGTTTTAGCGGGAAAAAGAATATATACAATATGAACATAAGACATATATGATATATATATATTCTTTATTGATTGAAAAAAACAAAGAAGAAGAAGAAAAATAATCAACAGGTGTAAAGCTAACAGAATTATAAATTCTCATATTACAGCTGGACATTATTGAAAATTATGTAAAATATTTCAATTTATAGAATTCATTTGGTCAGACCACGCATAATATATGGCAACTGTACTAAGCCCAAAAGTACTTATTTCTTTTATTTACATTTTTTTATTTATTTAGTCATGATTAAGAATTAAATCATGATTTTGAATTTAATTACCAGCCTCATTAAATCAAGAAAACATTTGCAAATTTAATCATTTCAGTTTGAGGGAACTATATATCTGCAGAGATTGTTCATTTGTGCAACATGTATGTATAGAGTTGTTAAACAAAACGAGTTGCTCGTGAGTTTGTCTTGCCTCCGCTCATTAAAGCTCGAGCTAGATTGATAAACATGTTGAATTCAAATTTGATTAGTTAACAAGCAAAATTGTTAAGGCTTGTTTCTTACGTAATTTTCTATAACTTAATTTGTTCAGACTAAATCTTTGTATTTCTTTTTTTCAACCGATAAGAACTTTTATAAATAAAATCATATATATATCTAGAAACCAGCCAACAGCTGACCAAGACAGCTATTGGGCCTAATATAGTAGGAGGTGTTAGGACTGACAACTCAAAACCAATTCTCCACCAATCCCAACATACAAGCCCCAATGAGACACAAGACCACATACTTGGGCCTCCCCTTAAGCAAAGTCCATACGATCTGGCCATCTTGTACCGTGGAACATGCTGCCTGACCACCCTTTCACCAGAAAAATTTTTGACACAAGGCACACGAATCAACGGCCCTGTGCCGGCTCCACGGGGAACATGCTATCATCCACATCGTAACCAGACTACCAACCGTGGCTTTGATACCAATTGTTAGGACATATAACTCAAAATCAAGTTATCAATCAAGTCCAACATACAAGCCCAAATGAGGATCCATTTTAAAATCAATTGGCAATGGAGGGAGTAATCCACTAAGCGTATATATTGAACTTGAAACCTTTTAATTTTCTGATGTGGGATTGGGTTTGCACACCCAACATGAGGCCAAACTCGAATATCACATAGGCACTAACAAGCTCCCAACACGAGAAAGCTAAATTGTCACGAGTGAAGAATACAAACAACACTACTAAAAGGAGAGAAAAAAAAAAAGCAAAACACACAAGATAGAAAATAAAAAAACTAACAGCTAGATAAACTAACGTCGTCTCCTCTAGAAGCCGAGCCGCACGCAATCCTGAAGCGAGCCAACAACAAAAGCAGCCATCCAAACGGGATCGAGTCCCGACCTAACACAAGGTCCTCTAACGGCTATCTAGAACCGGACCAAAGACGCATCCCTACCCAGGAAGTCACCACCGGATCGAAACCGGCAAGACCACACCCTACCCATCCCTAGCCCGGCCAACGACTGCAGCCCACTGAGAATCCGCACCCGCCGGCCGCCCCCAAGCACCCAACACTAGAGTAGAAAGGATCCAAAGAGGTAGAAATCGGACCTCGGGAACAATGACTACCACCAGACGGCCACCGTGCCTGCTGCCACAAGCTGCCCGCCCGCCATGGCAGCCACAAATCTAAGGGAGAAGTCCACTCGGGGGGAAAGAACGACAGCCCGCCAAGCCTAAGTAGCCGGTACTGGTCGACCTAGGCTTCGGCTCTCACCGGAGGGAGGAAGCCCACCGATAGTGGAGAGGCCCGCCGACAATTTAGGTTTTAAACTTTTTTGAATTGGTAAAAGGGAAGAACGAAGGAGAGCGAGTAAAATTTAATTCGTTAATATTGATAGACGAATTTAGACTCGATATATTATTGATGACTCGAATCGATAAAGAATCGAGGACAAACTTCAATATTAGGAGCTTCAGGTTGGTTTGACTCATTTGGACCTCTAATACCATGTAATAATTCAAGGGGATAATTGTAAACCCACTTCATGCCTCGTCCCAATTGTTTTTGGAAGAAAACGAAGTTACAATTGACACTATAGTTTTTCTTGAATTTCAAACATCGTGTACTTATTTAATTGTTACAATTAAAATCAATTAAATAAAAATAAAAGGTAAAGCTACACTCCCGTTACGAAACTATTCTATTGAGATTTATAACCGTTAGATGCACATCTATATAAAATTTGCATCTACGGTTACAAATCAATTAGATGCACATCCATATAAAATTTGCACCTAAAGGTTATAGTGTAGTATGTGCATCTAACGGTTACAAATCCCAACGGAATGGTTCCGTACTGAG